TTTTTTAAGGATGAATTGATACGTATATGGACAAATTTGAGAAGGAAAACAATAGTTAAATCTTATTTATTTTCAATAACGTTTAAACATATTTTCAAATTGCCATTTAAGTTCACTATTCTTTTCTTAGTTATTTCAATATTTATACGATCAAAATCGTATATAAGTACTATGAAGAAAATGCGATTAACCATGCAATACCACCCGATGCATTTATATATTATTATTATTTTATAACCAACTTTTTGCTTTGGACGTATATGAAAACTACTGAATTTGCAACTTTTGACTTTTAACAGGTTATCCTTGAGCCTGATACATAATTCATTAACTCTTCCTGTGTTTAAATTTCCCAGGACAATGAGCAGTTTAAGTTTAAATGAGGGGATGAATTTAGTTAAATGTGTTAAATGTCCGATCCCACATGACGTCAGATCCTGTGTGTCTTGTGGGGAGCTTTTAAAAGAGGAGAGGGAGGTAAGGTTAATGTAGGCTACACCTGCAGACAAATTGATTATTCAAATTGTCTTACGTTCTTAGTAGACTATTTCTAAAGTAAAATTAATACATGTGAATTAGCATCAACCTGAAAATTATGCAATATACCGGTCAAACAACACAAAGAACGATGACTGTAAACCAATTGCTGATAGAAATAGATCAGACCTAAAAATGGCCAAAAGTACGTGTATAGTCAAATCTATTGAAGAAATCGATAGGAAACTCGAAATATTCTGTTACTGTATATAGAGAGCTGATATAAATGAATTATTTTTGTTACAATATTTGTTATCAACCAGTGTGCTCCTCGCAAACACCAAACACTTTTCGTTGCCACCACCAGGAGTCTTAAAGAGCTATATATATATATGTATATATTACCAATTACTCAGCAAAATAACTAAATAAATACGAAACTAGATCATTTGTGTGTAATTTAAGTATTTATTAAAAAATAATGAATTTCTTAAACATTCTTTACTCATACTAAGCTAATGATATATTTATTTCTCTTTTATTGTAAAACTGAAAAAAATCTAACGTCCCAGTTTAGACGACTTGAAATATTGTTGTTGCCTAAAGCTAAAATAAATACTAGCATAAGCAAGGAGTACAGATAAAATCCCCTGACAAATTTTAAAATTCAGTTTCACGAATAAATAAATTACCATGGAAAACAGACGCGCATCGTGACCAAAGTAAGAAGTGTAACAATCAGTGTGTGATAAAAGTCACGCGGAAAAAGTAGTTCCTCACGACAGCTGATAACAGAAAACCATCTGTCGCTGTCAACAATGACAAGAATGATAACACTAGCTGTAACTCACTAACAGAGCTTGTGGAAAGATTTACTTGGATGTGAGCAATGCTTCGTTCACATATTGGTGTGAACGTTTTGTCATTTTTACTTTAAAGCATCAGTTACTATCTAGCTTGACAATCTGTAGATGGATTAATCGACATCCCAATGACAAATGACATATGTTTGCATATTCGAAGAAACAATGGGATTGAAAACCTATCATTGAGGTTTGAAGAGTACATATTGGCTAACCATAAAATAAATATGTTGTACAAGACAAATCAGTCAAATGCTTGCACTGTATTTTGGGACAGTATAAACCAATTTATGGATACATCGGGGACACAAATAGCACACTTGTTTCTAGTACTGTACTGTCACATTACTGGGGATGGCCATTTTTAGACTTTTTGAACATAAACAAAGTGTTGGATTCGTTACTTCGTATCCCTTGTATGCGATATTAAATGAACTGCAAATGTATACATCGTATATATATATATACTTGGTCTTTGACATTTTAGCGAAACTATTGCATCAAAGTGTCTCTCATATTTAAAATAAATATTTGTCATATTTTACGTTGATACAATAAGACAGAATAAAATTCTAAATATAACATAGTCAGGAAAATATCAATACAGTAGTTTTTGAATATTTATTTGCCACCAATCCTTAATTTTAAGTTTCCATTTTTTTGTCTAGAAAAAAAGGAAGACCTAATCATCAATGCAGGGTGTATTCGAATTACCATTCATGTTTAACTATGGAGAGTAGAATCAACTTCATTCCCGTGTTTTAGAACAAGGAATGTTGTGTAATTGAGCTGCCGACATATTTTGCTGATGCCAATAATTGTTAATTTCCGTGGTTGGTCCAACAAAAGGTTTTATATCCAATACATCACATTTCCCTCCTAAAGAGCACCCCAGACGGAGGCGGAACTACGTCCCAACGCCTACGCGCGCTGCCGCACACGCCCGCAGTCAGCACGCGTGCGGCAGATGGCGCGGCTACATGCTACAGCTACAGATTACCCCGCACAAGCCGTTACGCAGAATGAGTTGCAAGATGTTCCCCATCAACTCGTCCTTCCCGCCATGCCGCGGTCGGGTGATCTCTACCGTTTACCCGCCATTTTCCCCGCCTGCGTTTTGAAAATGAATTTGGTACCTATGTGAGTGGCTTGTGTTTATTTAGTAGTGTGAAATTTTGTGTCATTGTTCGTAATGGGGTCGATACTAGAGTAGAAGTGCAATCTAAATGAAGCTGTAGGAAATCTTTTACTCTAATAGAATATAAAGTAGTTCGATGAGAAGCGTACAGAGTGTACTGTCAAAACTGTATTCTCTAGATTTTCATTCCTAACAAGATAAAAGATCGCATAAAAGATTCTATAGTTTCAGTAAGTTTTTATTTCAGTATGGCTTCAAGTCTACGTAAACGACAGAAATAAATAGATATCAGCACAAGCACAGTATATTCTGAATCAATTCAATAAGTCTACATTCATTTTTATTGTGTTTCAACTACCTGCTGTATCATCTTTCGGCACTGGAATAACTTAGTTAATGATATTTTTATTTCGTTCATATATATGCACCTCTTGCTCTCTTTCAAGGGCGTTCTAACATATCCCATGAGCTATCAAGTACCATAGATTAAACACTCACAGTACGCTCATTAAGTAGGCCTACTCCTTAGGTCTTAGGACTTTAGAGGCCTTCAGTCTCAGAAGTATCTTTCCAACTACTCATCAACTCTAGGTCCTAAACAAAGGTCTCCGACCCCTCGGTCCCCCAGCACCTGAGTGTCGGGCGGTCTCATCAACCTCTACTGTGTGGGATTGGAGGACCAACACACCTGAGAACACAGTTTACCTTGCAGGCCCTGATTAATTACTCTATTGTAGCCCTACATCGCTTACAACAGGGTTCACGGGTCCCCGGTGTTGCGCCGTTTTGGAACTTCTACGCTTCCGTTACTGGTTGGTCTTTCTACCAAGAGTTTCACGGATTGAAATGATTCGTTAGTAAATTAAGGAACTTGAAGAACTTAAAGTTTGCTTGTTATAGCCAAAAGCGGAGCCGAATTTGGACCCAGATGCCATTTGTAATTGAGATATCGATTTATGATGCCATCAAATAAAATGTTAACGTTAAATAACGGTTTTTTCAGATCATTCCCTTACAAAAAGCAAAAACAAAGACAATATGATTAACAAATTAACAACTTACTGAGCAGCGTTGACTTTGTCACATCCAGAGGAACCAGATCCAAAACCATCATAGCGGATTGGAAGCGAGGCTGCATCGCACATTGACTTATTCAATGAATCAACTTCATCTTTCAAACGCAAGATTATGGTTAAATATTTTTTTTTCCAGCATTAAACAAAAATGTTAAACTACAAATCTCTCAGGTATCCTCTTAACTCATTATTTATTTCTCATCGCTCTCAGCTCTGTATTATACGTTCATTGCATGTACCGTTTCCTCTTTGTTCTTACTTGTCTCCATGGTTATTCACTTCAAATATTTATCATTGTTTTTAATATTATTTATTGTTCTCACAAAAATATTTATGTATCTGTTTATTGTTATTTCATTGTTATTTACATTGTTCATTGTTATTTCATTGTTATTTGCATTGTTTATTGTTCTCACTAAAATATTTATCCTGTTTATTGTTATTTTATTGTTATTTATATTATTTATTGTTTTCTAGGTTAGTCCATGTGCCATTTATTGTATACATATCTTCGTTATTCATTTAACTATGTATTTGCTTATCGTTACTCACTCCGTTCTTTGTCCAAGTTTTTCACATGTATACTTTACTCTTATTATTGTTACATTTTGACATTCCTTTCATTGTTATTATTATGGATTATCTAGTCATAATGAGCATTTTACAACTCAATCAAACTGTAAAATTTGTGTAAATCCGTTGGAAAATAAAAATAAAATTAACGAGTTTGCTATAGTAATGTAGCATCAACAATTGATTGATATTTTCAATTAGTATGTAATATTTCAATTATACTCTATTTACAAAAATTAGGTAAATACTGTGATTTCGCATTCTGTATTAGAACTAGAACCTAGCCGAAATATGCAGACCTTAACTACATTCGGATTACACTATAATGTGGTTTGTTGCACACCAGTTTTCCAAATAATAGTCTAACATTGTTTACGTTCAATTGTCACACATACAACTAAACATAGTTTTCTCTTTGGTTTGGACCTTTCCCTATTACTATGTTTGTTTTTTTTTTGTTTTTGTTTTTTTTTTTTTGGGGGGGGGGGGCGAAATGTTATGATTGATTATATAACCTACTGTTGGTCGGATTAGAACCAACCAAGGCATAACCATCGATGTATAATAACCTACAAACTTGAATAGTGTATTGTTACATACAACTTGTATAGTAGAAGTCGTGCAAATATAGTACCCATGTAGTTTTCCCAACTTCTAGCTAGCGATGTGCGAAGAGCGGTTCCAAGTGGTCTACAGCCATATTGCCCATTGAGCGCGTCGCGGGACACAGCTGGCTAGTGATTGTTGCCGCGGCGGCCTCCTATTGGCTGAGCGCTGACGGTTGCGTGGCAACAATGCGTGCTCTCGGCCAATCACAGCGAGCTGGCCGAATCTGAGCCTCAATCTGCGGGGCGGAGTCAGTCGCTGCCGCGCCGCGGACCCGTGAGGTTCTGTGGTTTGTGTCCGCAATCTTGTGTGTTTGGATTTCTCTCGAGGTCTCTACTGGTATGAGTGCCTTTCCGTAGTTACTAGCTTTAAGGTAAGGTCAAGACTTTTTACTTTATATTTACATAAAAACTTAGCTTATGGTTGGAACAAATGTTAAAAAAATATTTATTTTTAAATAGGCCTAGCCTATGTAAAAGGCCAAGTAAACCTTTATTTTATTTTTATGAAATACTGGCTTTAACTTGTTATTGGTCAATGGAGCCAAGAGTCGATGAGGTTGCCAAAAACATTATTAATTCGGAGTAATAACATATTTATTTATTTTGCTACCAACGGTCCAAACAAACTGATTTACAATTTTTTTATCAAACAATTCATTAGCCAAACATGCAATGGGACTGTCTTAGCTAATTAAACAACGATAGGCTACGTTAACTTGCAGATTAAATAACTCAAGTAAATGTACAAAGCAAAGAACAGACGGTGCACCCTAAAGTTGGATAGTTGTATGACAGCAAATCGCAAAAAAGGGAGATATTTGTACAGAGATTAACAGAGTGTAGCATATTATATGTTGCAATGATCATTTGAATAAGTAGGGCCTATATGATAAAAGGTAATCGCACGGAGAGCATTTTCATCCTTTAGCTGAGAAATGTTAGTCAGTATTTTTTTTACAAAAATCAACGTTCGTCTGTAGGCTGTACTTTTTTCTCCAATGATCATTAAAAACAATTAATATAATTAATTTGGTTCCAAAATTCCTTGTAGTATAGGAGACAAATAGATGGGATTGGTTGTTTTCCATGATGCAATTTATGTCACTGAAGCAGTAAGTGTTGCAGCCATATGTTCACAGTTTTAATTGCTGCGTTTTAATCAGATAGCAACCTAACCCATCAAGATTTTTACATGTTATTTAACAGTTTTTAAAAATGATACTCCAAAACTACTAAAAATGTATTGTACATTATGGTTTACGATACTATTCGAATTTATGTTTATACTACTGCTGAAAATCATGACTTTGTTACAACAATCAACTTCATATTAGTAGTATATTTTACAGAAGTAAATTTGTGCATTGTATACAGCTTTCTACTTAATAATTCAGTTAACATTGTTAAAGACGTTATGGGGTTGGATTCATAATTTAGTCAATTCAAATATTTATTTATTTATTCATTTCAACGGCGATCGCCATTTATATTGCTACCAATTGTTTTAACAACGCTTAGATTATTCTGTTCATTGCAACACTTCAATACAACGTGTGAATATTTTGTAATTTTTACCATCCACACGGTGTTTGTGCAATACGTTGGCAGTTGGCATGTTGCAAACATAAATTAAAGTATGTCTGTGTGTTAAATGAAAACCGTACTACTGTATTTGCCATCAAGCCGCCAATTCACTATCAACTTAATTACAGTGTGCTTAGTGCCTACCTTTGTTTAGACCTGACTATCAGAAGTGAGTGGAAATAAAATTTTAAGTTACCCTATATAATTTGTTTTTTAAGAATTCCATCACTAATTTTACAAAAGTGCACATCTTGTGTTCAATACTAAATTTATTAGAGTTTTGAAATCAGAAATCTTTATTTATTTATTTATTTATTAACGGATGCACCATTTTGACATGTAAATACAATAATCTTACATCAGAAGCAAAAAAAGAAATCACAGGTCAGTACAAAAGTAGTGAAAAAAAACTGGAAAACAAAACTTCAAAACAAGACATAAAAAGATAAATAACAACTATAAATAACAAACTATAAATAACTAACTATGAATAACAAACTATAAGTATTTATTGTCATATTACTATATTATTAATTAATTGATCAAATTGTGTTTTATTACCTGACAATGTAATAAAAAACTAAACTAAACTGTTGATACAAATGTAGTAAATAATTTTACATAAATCTTACAACTAATAACAAAATATCAAAGCTTATTGAGCTACTGTCGTCCTATATTTCATTTACGTATATGTCCTAAAAATCGATTTTTGGATCTTGAACGTTTCTATTATTTATGATTATTTAATTATAGATTTTGCTAAAATAGCACTGAAAAACTCGCTAAAACCGCCAATATTAAAGTTATTAGAAAGTCTGAATTTAGAACAATTTCCCAACAACTTATGTGATTTGTTTTGTAAGGCTTAACACCTCAATTAGCATTATAAGTTACATTTTATGTGCTTTTGGTTTGTAACTTTAAAAAATTAAATAGCTTTAGACGATAATCCGATTTTCAATATGAGGATTAAGCTATTACGGTGGGTCTTGTAGCATTACTTAAACCCGGGACCAATTTACTAATTCGTTTTGATATCCCCAAAGGCCAAGAACACTGTTCGTTGAAATTAATGTATACATTTTTGACCGTCAGTGTATGTTGGCTTTAAAAATAAACATACATATTTGTTTTTTATCTGTGACTTTTAAATAAATAAATAAAAACGTTTTGTATTAATAATTTGTAAAAATTGGCGCTTGTTTTGAATATTGCCTATGGCCATCATACTCAAATTTACTACTGTGATCTCAGAAACGTTATATAATGAGAGATTCAGTGTCTGTGATGTATCATTGAAAGATTAAATATTTTTCACATTGACACTTACATGGTTCGGATGTTCGTCACAATCCCTACCAATCCCTAATGTAAAAATGATGTTGCCAACCTGTTAAAAAAAAAAAATAATCGGAAAACGTTTATTTTTCATATATTTTCTTTTCTGATAGTGTACGCAGTGTTAAAAAAGTATTTAATAAAACATAAAATTCATTAAATATTGGTGACGTTTTTTATTTTAAATTAAATACAATGTTATTATTTTTCCTGGGAAAAGTCAGAACTTTTCATGGTTTGAAAATGGACCCAGCTGACCTCCATTGTTGTGCTAATGAACCACAGCTGATCTTACTAAGCACTAATCTATCACTGCATCCATGCAACATTCGTAGTCCACTAATAATACGCAACCTGATACGACAGCGTAGTCTGATTCTACATGTAATATAATATACACTTTACAAGTTATATTTTCATATAACTGTAATAATTTAAACTTAAAGTTTTTAAACAAGCTGCGATTCCCGGGTAAAGAAGTAATTTCATGTTGTCAGCAGGCTGGGAAACCTTACAGGAACACGTGTCAGGTAATCTGTGCCGAGGTGTGGCAACACTGGTTGAGCACAGATTCAACTTGTGAAGCTTCGTAACTCCTCAGAAACAAAATGGACGTCGTGTCCATTGATGAGCCCATGTAGAGTAATTATTCAAACAATTATTTAGTGTCCTTTCTTATGGGAATCCTCATTAGTATTATAGTATAACCAGAATATCTTATAGCTGCAACCGGCGTAAATTCTGCATGGCAAGAAAGAGCTCTTGCTAACCTAGGTTCCCAGTTTTGTAGTTTTTCAAAAAATCTATATATGGAAATATGGAATACAGTATTTTTCTTTTTTCTATGAATAAGAAATTATTTTGTAAAACTATGCAAATAATTTGAAAACAGAACATTATGTATAAATAATTTTGCATTGTCATGCTTTGGTTTGAACAAACGTTTATATGGAAGTATGGATGTCAGTATGCTTGACTTTTTACTGACATTTTGCCTACCCAGCAGCAGAACTAGCAAAAGATTACGCCTTTTGATGGCGCTTTCCTATTACTTTGGTGTACATTTCAATTAATTAACAAAAGAGCGATTTGATCTTTGCGCAATTATGGAACTTGTTGATATACGGATACCAATTTGGACACATTTTTGGTAAAGGAGTTAGCACTCTTCATTTATCGCAGTGTCGAAGACTTTTTTTAAGATACCGCTGTAGTGATTAATATAATAATAATGATCTTTGTTTTTTTTATTTTATTTTTTTTGTCGCTAAGAACATGGTGTTTTGGTTAGTTTTATGTGAAATTTATATTGACGTCATTATGGAGTTTGCAACCGTCAAATATATAAAGATGTTTGAGTTACGACTTAACAAATTGAATGTTTGTATTTTTCTGATGGAACCAGAGCAGATTTAGGCGCGAATGATGTTTCTAAGGCCGACATACGCACAACTAGGCCTATGTTACCCTAGAGGGCCTCTGAGTAATTGATAATAGAATTTGAATTGAATCGAAACTGTCGAAAGTCTAAACCAAGGCCAAGGTTCTGGTTTAACTTAGAGATTTATTCTCGTCCGAAATCGTTGTAATTCCCTGCAATACATACTGCCTATATTTGTGTGAGTAATTAAATTGAATGGTACATGTTTAATGCATTTTGGATATTTCATCCGTTATTCTTGACTGTGGTTAATTCCTATGTAGGATACGAAGATATGTGTTAAGGTCACCGCTTTGTTTACTTGAGAGTCGAGGTACTTACCTGTAAAGCTGATAGTTTGGTAAAATTATAATTTAAAATGCCTAAATTCAAACATACAAAACAGCTCATTTCACTCCCAAGCCGTATTTAATTTCCCAGTAGATATTGGCCTACAATGTAGATCTGTGCGTTGGGTGTGATCCACTTTTATCATCAACCGTTGATGAGGTTAGATTCTCACTCCTGATTTCCCTTAAAATAGTTTATTTCATCGTTAGGGCCCAAAGTGGCTCTTGGTAAATGAGCGATGGTTGAAAAGACACTTTTTCTCTTAATACACCATTAAATTAACAAAATTATGTTACAAAAAGAAAATGGTTTTCATTTAAATTTAACCTCTCAAAGCCACTTCTAGCTTGTTTTCAATTTAATTTGCCAATATAAACAAGCAGCTTTTTAGTAAGTATTCAATCGTCTATTTCGATTTTGTAAATTATACCATCAATATTAAATATTTTTTCGTAGTATTTACAATAAGGCAATAATTAACTACAATAGACGATATTGTTTTCAATCGAAAGCAATAATTTGTTTTCAATCGAAATGTATAACTGAGTTGAAAAGAGCTGATTTTTACTCCCTATGGGCCAAAACGCTTTTTACTCTAAAGGGAGTAGGTCTAAAATGCTACTTTAGTTTACTTAATGCTACTTTAGTTTTACTTTTTACTTGCTTTTTTGCTACTTTTTTTGCTGCAGTATGACGAAAACTATATATTTTTTTAATTCACACATACAAAAACCCTTATTGAAAAAAAAATAAATTGTTGATTAAGAGAAACTTGTTCAACAACTTACCTGGTGAGTTGCATAAACAAAACAATTACGCAATTTATTTGCCATACGTTCACACAACTGAGTGCAAACCGGCTGAAAAGTTGGAGACATTTTGCAATTACCTTTGAGACGATTCGATACATAGTCGATTTGTAGGAATGTCATTGTGTGTGAACACAGCTGTGTGGACAATCACTGACAGCGAATCACTGCCTAGTACATGACAGCTGCCTCTGATTTGATGAGAGTTGATTTGATTTGTGAACATCTGTATGGTATGTAAGTGTGCAATCATTGATGGCACATGATGGAGCAGAGGTTCATTTGTGTGGGTTGCGGCTATTTGAGATGAGAACAATATACTCTGTGGCTAGCCTCGGCACTCAGTCAGTAAACATGTCTAGAAAACCAAAAAGTTCAGATCCTTCTCTAAAACTCTTTTTGAAATATATTAAAGCTTATTTATCACTCCAGTTTAACGGGTTTTTAACGGTGATGATCTCTTCAATTGCTTTACTCCAACTGAGCTGTTCTCTATAAAACTCCCGAACAATACACAGGTGAAAAGCAGATGATGGAAAGCTGGGTGGTTTTTTGTCTGATTTTAATCACAATGAGATTCGTGTACAAAGTCTGTATCTATTGACTCTTCAATAGTCCCTAGTCAGTCGGTAGAGATGTTTTGCTGGCGCAGGTAATAGCTCTTCATTTTCAGCTTTAATACGTTGCAAATTTACTCATCAATACTTTAATTTATCTTTGGCTTTAAAAATATATATACGAGTATTTATAATACATTTTTTCAAATCAAATCATTTATGTGTTTTGTTTGTTATTTTAATTCATTTGCGTCAACATGTCAATTTGTTTAATAATAATCCGACTAATTTACAGGGTTTTTTGCATTTATTGACTGTAAAATGTTAGTTATTGACTGTAAGGGCTGTAAGTGTTTAAAAACAACTTTCTTTTCTGTTAGTTTTTTTATTCTGTTCTCTATTTGACTCTTTTCAACTGGTTCTCCCCATTGACATATGTTTTCCATACTGTTAATCTCATGTGTTAATCTTATGTGTTGTCTTAGTGCATTTCCCCTTTTTAGATACTTCTGGCTCAATTTGACCAAACAATGTATTACAATTCAAATTCATGGTCATAACTCTAAGTTACTAATACTACTCGTAAGTACTCATGCTAACTCATATACTAACTTATAACTCATATTTCTTCAAACGAATATTTTATTAAATAGTTTTGGGTGTTTACTGTGACGAAGAATAAACACATTTTAACAACATCAACACTTTTCTCTTCAACTTTGATAAATATCATTATCTAAAAATGTATTCTCACTAACATCTTCTCTGTTGTCGTTTCAAACTTGTTTCAAAAACTGTACTGGGAGACGCTCAGAAATAAAGGCATTTTTATTGATTTATTTAATACATTTCATGTATATATTTTTGGTGCCACAATATATTCTTAATACTTATCAATTATCAATTATTTAAGATGGGGACGCCACTATGTGCGTACATTAGATGCAGTCTTACTCGAATACGAAAATCACACTCCCTTCACTGACATATCAGCACAGATTTCACCACCTGTGGAGTCTTACGCAATTTTGAGTTGTTATGATACTGTAATAAAACTCGTGCTATGTGACTTTTCGTATACCGTAATGTGCCATTGTTGTGCTTTTTATGAGGGTGTGGACTTAGTATCCCTGCACGTTAACAGCTTGTTGTGCATTGCTTAAGTTTTACGACATTTTGCTGTTAGAATACTTTAGGTGCAAAGAGACTTCGGTGCTATAAGACTCGTTTGCTTGTTGCAGGACGGCGATGCCCCCACCAGTGACGGGCGACCCAGAGAGTGAGTCCGTCATTCAGAGAGCTTCCCCCACCTCTACTTCACCAGGGATGACTATTACCCCCTCCCCACCACACTCGGCGCCTGCCACCCCTCTAGTCCTGCCTTGGGGACAGCGCTCTGGTGAGGAGAACTTTCTACTTCCTTCTAAGTCCAATCCTTTAGCATAATTTTATGTGTGTGTGTGAGTGTGTTTTTTTATTGTGTGTGTCTGTGGAATTTTTCAAGGATTTATAGAGCAGGCACACAAACGGGTTAAAGGATTAAGCAACAAGTACTGCCAGTCCAAATTAACAGCGTTTGTTCCCTATTTAACTAACACAGTTAATAACATGACTAATTTACTTCTTAATTTTTTGAGTGTTTGAATGTGTGCTTAAAGGGTTAACAAAGCTTTAGAAGGATTTTTAGAAATTTTTCTATCTGTTCCCTTCAAATAAGCATAAGTGCTAAGTGATTTCACTATAGCATTACTGCAGTTCTCTGTTTTAGTTCCTTAGCATGAACTCCACTTTATTTTAAATTTGCATCATATTCTGTCCTGTAGATGTACCAGTGCCTTACCTAGCCCCTACACTACCATTACCGTACTTCTGGCCATCCATTTTCGCGTCACCCTCCAGGCTGTACCTACCTCCATGGGCGTCGACCCTTCCAGAGGACCTCAGCCCCGACAGGGCGGGCTCCGACACAGGGTACACGCCCGAGAAAGCGAAGACAGGTCAGTGAAAGAGCAATATAACATATGTGTACAAAAAACAAGCCATCATACGATGTAGTATGACTCAACATACAACCCTAATAGAATCCAGACTAGTATTCTACCACGTCACTAGTTGGACTGCATAATGTGTTGTACCTACTTTGAATAGGTGCCCTTAGGTTGAGACTGGGAATCAGAGTTGAATGCAACTCACACAGTTCTTTCGTTTTGTTAAAAAAATAATGTATAGCCCATTTAGTACTAAATTAGTTTAAGACTCAATTATTGTATTTAACAGTTACATTAAAGTAATTGTATGCAACTTCCGTATCTTCCATAAAATCTGTAGACAGTTTGTCGCTTAAAATTGTTTAAGAGCAAAAACATATGGATTCGATTTCGTTGTTTTAACCGAACCCCAGTTTTCCTTAAATTACCTCCTTGACCAATAAACAAATTTATATTCTTACGTTGAATTGATTGGGGGTGTAAAATACTATATTTGCATTCCACATAACGTAAAAAATTTTATAACGTTAACTATTAGTCATTTAAACTAAAACTGTTTAAAATTTGTTTAAAGTTTGTTTAAGTACGACCCTCAGATGCTGCCTTTTTATTAAAATTTTACTATATGGACCATACTAAATTCAATTCTGTAACCGACTCCTGCTTGTCTGCAGATGAGGATATGCCCCTCAACCTGTGTATCAAGCCCCGCCGACCCCTGGAGATATGGTCACCGGCGACCCAGTGTGAAAAAGAGGAGACACCCCAGCCTCAGCAACCTGCGACCTCCACAGTATCTCCGGCCGAGAGGACATTTCAGGTACGAATAACAAATCATGGTGGTAGGAGTAACGGGTTAGATGTTGCAATTACAGTCCATAGAAGTTAACAATACAATAGGTTGTATTATTTACTTCGATATTACAGCCTCCCTACTCTAGGTTTGCATGACTTTTAGTAATGTTTGTAGTTTCCTTGGAATACAACTAGGAAACTGAACGAAGAACCCCCAAGTATGGAGCTTTTTAAACCGTTTGGGTTGAATAACAACATGTTAAAGTATAGTCATCCTAGCGAGATTCCCACATGTCTATAAATATTACTACCTTTACATTCAATGGATATTTAAAGTATGAGTTATCTAGTAAATACAGCCTATTGAAGGAATGAAACTTCACTATTCAAAGGCATACTCGCATTCAAGCCTCGATTTCGATTTTAATTCCATGAAGAATATTTATAGAAGTAGGCTCAATTAATTTAAAATCAATTGCTCGCATATGAACATATTTTTAAAAGGTGTCAATGCATATTCAACCGCTATTTTTTTATTTGTTTCAATGCCAGTGAAATCTTTTAATTTTGTAATATTACAATTAATTGGGAAAGCGTTCATACTTTATGCTCCATTCAATTTTTCGTGGATAAGTCAGAAGTTAAATTATTTAATGTTATATTCAGTGATATTCTGGAAGATCTAACTTATATATAATTTTTTATGCATTCTTCACCACTTAACCCCAGATGGGTCGGTTTGTTTTGGAAACACCCGCTGTGGTGGCAACCCCGCTTCAGAGCGGAACCTTCATGCTTTGACGCTTCGGTGAAATCCTCCTTCGAATCACCACCGATTGAAATGCTGAATGGCGAGACAAGTTGATTATGAGCTCCACCCCGCACTTATACAACCTACAGGGAATTATATCGATCCGGGGATATTTGTAAGGCTCGCTGACGACAGTTGTCATTGATTTGAATGGATTTCATCGTCCTTCGCGGAGAGATAATTGGGTTGAAATGATTCAGTTAAGGTTTTGTAAAGAGTAGAGGGTCGTACTATGTAATTTGATATATTGTATCTCGGTGTTGACATTAGGGTGGAAAATAGTCTTGTATAGCTTTTAGTGGGAAAGGATTTCTATAAATAGAAAAAAACCACATGTGTGACCTATAGTTTTTGTTTGTATATCTTTTCGATCAGTAGCATACAGGGATGCGTATAATCAGACCAAGATATTTTCATGTAGTTCAATAATTTCGTAATTAGCTGGATGTGAAACTAGTCCCTAGTAAAATCTAGTGGACTTAACTTTACTGCTCTAATCACTAGAACAACTTTAATGATAAACTAGACTTTAATTACCGACCATAAAAAATACCTTACTTTAAAAAAAAAAAGAGGTTGGCGGCCTCTTTTAACCTTGCATTTGCCCGTCCACATAGACTAAGCGCCCGTGCGTGGATCGTTTACAGCAAAGCAAGGAGTGAGCCGGTACAGTACAAAGGTGAACTGTACTGATAAAATGTTATCGGCAGTGACCAGGATCCGAACCCACGACATCGCTGCCTTGGGCCCAAAGTCCGCAACGCTACCGACTGAGCCACCGACTCACTACACCAACTACACCCATAAACATAAAAAACTTTTGATAAAAGATTGCCGCGTACTGGAGGGCAAAGAAGTGTGTAAAATACAAGGATTTGAATTGAAATATCGATAATCTTAACGTATAATTAACGTAATTTGTATTTTTTTCTAGTGCAAACAGTGTGGAAAAAAGTTCAAGAGATCGTCAACGTTGACAACACATCTGCTGATACACTCGGATACGCGGCCCTACCCTTGTCAGTTCTGTGGGAAGAGGTTCCACCAGAAGTCCGACATGAAGAAACACACCTACATACACACAGGTGAGGGAAATGCATATTGAATAATAGTTAGAAAACAAAGTATTCGTCAAGACAAACTTTCACGTGTTTCCAATAAAGTACAATAAATTATAGAAGAACTGCGTGTTCTTTCCTAACAAGTTAAAAAAATTATCGCAAATTGTAGACCAAGCTAGGATTAATAAGCAACGGGAATTGCCTAAGGCTTAAAGTATAAGCTTGGTCAAAGGCGGCCGGCGTGAATAATATAACGTGAACCAGGGCGTTTCCCGAGGTTTGGATGGTCAGACGACAATTGAATAAATCATGTCCGATTTCGTCAGGTGGTCTTCATCGAGAGTTCATTGCATGATCATATTTGTACGATACGCAGTGTGCTATTTACACCAACTTTTTTACAGAGTCTAATTTACAGCAACTTTTAGACCTGTGTTTTTGAGACTCTTTATTGTGAATGTTAATTTAAAGTTAATAATGGCTTTTCCTGTTGGTAAGTGTTTTGACTACACCACGTAAGGAAACTCCCGAAACGTAGTGTAGTTGAAATACTTACTGATAGGATTAGCCCTTAGTATCTTAAAATTCTCGGCCCCTCTCTACTCTGGTTGGACACAGGAATATAGCTACAGCCCAGCATTAGCCTAAATAATGTTGGCTTTCACATGAAACAATATTATGAACCAACTCCATTAAATGTCTATCATTGTCTCTATAAGGTCGGGTAATTGAGAGAACGATACCAACGGTCGTCCAAATTCAAATACCGTTTCAAATGACAAAGATTTTTATTTCTTAGTTTACAGTTTTCTTTCGCAACCAAAATTTGTTTCTCAACTGCACAGATTGTTTGGTATTTACTATGGTCAGTCTGGGTAGTATGCCCATTAGGTCACATTATCAAAGTTAAACCCCGATACCAATTACAAATAATCGGATCGATTTCGATCACCGCGGGACGTAGAGATTTCCCTAGGTAGGGACTACTAATGACATGTTACGGGGAGACGGACGTTTACCAATAACCCCATGTTACGACTCGCATGAGACCGTCCACCTGTCTTGGAATAATTAAAACAAATCGTCCTTTATTATTCACAACCTCCAGGCGTCTTCCTAATTCCCCTCCTCGGAGCTTGCATATTTGAGCGGTTGATTACAACGTTGTTCATTTGATTAGAACCTTTCAGAGCTTCCATTTCTCGATTTCAATATTTAGCTTCATTGATTGCATTGACACACTTTTCTGAAGGCCGTATGTGCATGCACGAGTAATGTTTTATGTAATATAGCGTTTCCTAATTTTATTTTCTATTTGATGTACTCGAAGGCGAATTATCTTTTCTTTATAAGTGAAGTTAATTTTATTTTCTCTTTGAAGTACTTTAGGTAAAACTTTCAAGCATGTAAAATATAAACCATTTTTTGCCATTTGACTCGTTATATAGTTAATAGAGCGTTATCGTTTCAGCATACAATAATATCAAACTAGAAATTATTGTATTTAATAAGATTTTACATATGTATACCTAATTTACAAATATTATTTATTCAAGATTTAAAATACTATATCATTTATATACACGTACAAAATATTTTCACACATTTTAAATATTTTGACTTACCGGTAATTGAAATTAGATTAGAAAAAACTTCACATAATTTTATACTTTGCTCAAATAAACACAAGTAAGGTTAGGTTGTATTGATCAGTAATTCATCTCATAAGAATTACACATAACATTTTCTATAAATGTGCTAAATATTGGAGTTTGAATAAGAGAATAAGGACACTATTCTGTTTGGTTGTGACCATTTACCCTCACTACAAAGTGCAATAAGTCGACAAGCATATTACTGTCATCACTGTCCATTTTGGTGCTAATGCTACAACAATAAGTTACAAATAGAAATCTATTTTTGCCGACCCCGTGAGAAAAACCGTGATTGAGCAGAGGTTAACACGAAGTTATCAAAATCATTTATCAGGGATCAGGACAAGTGATAAGGGAACAGCACAATCTAAACATCGCTGAATGAACACGCAAACCGGGGTAAACATATACGATAAAGCAGTGAAGTTAATTTTATATTGACAATAGTATTGGAGAAAACTTTCATCTAAACACCAGGGACGAAAACATATTTTAATGACAATTCGATAGAGCTTTTTAAACTGTTAATGGACATGTTATCGTTTAATGAGTTGTCTAGCTGACGAGCGACTCGTTTTAATTATCAAAAACTAAAAAAGTCTTATTTTGTGATCTTGAGGTTGCAGTTGAATCGATTTTCAATAGTTTTTTGTTTGGATGTACACAATTTACTTACTTATCCCTTAATTATTTATTGTTATTCCAAATAGGGCATTTGTTATCTTACAAATCCCATGTAAATCGCTTGTAAAAAATCTATATTTATTCATATATGATTTATAAAATATTTTACATATAAAATCCTTAATTACTACAACCGCAACCAGTTATTGAATGTCACACATTCAACTTGTTCGATAAACAGTCTTACAAACAATTTACCAGCGCAGGTGTAGCTCATAAACATAACAAACCGTATTGGCCGTTAAACCGGTGCGGATTATGGAGATTGGAGCGTTTTTACGGCTCTTTGAGAACGCAGGTAAGAGTGAAATGGGTCGGCAGTTTGTCGGCTCACTGTGTACACCTGCCACTAGGCACGCGTCTTTCATTACTGGCTTCCTGCACCTTCCACAGCTGTGATTATGTTGTTTTGACGGCGTGTGTTGCTTTTTGCCCCCCTTTTCGCTTCTTTCTCTTTCAGGAAGTTAATTTCTTTCTATTGAATTCCTCTGCTCCTCCATCGTCCTAGCCCTCTTCGCTTTGATCCCTTTTAGGAAGTTGATTTTTTTATTCTGAATTCTCCTGCATAACCACTAGGCCTTTGTTATTTTGATAATCTTTGTTTTCAACCAATCTTTTACTGTTTCTTTCGACTTTCCAATTTTTTATTTCAATTTTTTTGTAATTATTTAAGAGGTGTCTTCAGGATAGCCTATTTTAGAGGTACATTTTCCCCACAATAGTGTGGTGAAAATGTACCTCTAAAAACCCTGGGTGATATGCAGTTTTAATAAACCCTCTAAGCTAAGTGTCTAAGTGGTTGTAGTGTTCGCCTAACTGGTTCGATCATGAGAAAGGTCAGACAGCTTTATGATGGTTTGAAACTTCACCCAGATGTCCTTGATTATTCAAACGTTAATAAAATATACTGGCTAAAGGTACGGGATATCTTAATCAGTAACAAAGCTGCCCAGATCATTGTACTACTTTCGTTTCGCCCTTTATCCATAATTAGTTGAGGTGTGAACAGCTATCTTAAATGTAAAAAAATAAAAAAATAAACATTACTCGTGAGCGGAGTTAAGGGTGTGCAAAGGGAGTGGGTGATGGGGGGGGGGGTTCGATTAACTAAGTGATAATTACAATAATTGCCGTCGTGTCAAGTGATCGCGCCACTGTCCATCACTTGTTTGCTTTGCTCACCTCCGTAACCGAGCCAAGCTTCTAGTCTCTTACCTAGATTGGATTGGGTTTTGGTTGACGGATATGAATTAAACCTCTTGTTGTAAAGATTGATGAGTAATCGATAAAAATAATTTGTTAAGAACGTTGGTGTTTGTCTGTTGCGGATCATGAGGTGACAATTTAAGAGCTTTTCTAGAAATTACCTAATACGCAATTTTTTCGTGAACGTTTTAAAAAATGTTTCTATCAAAAAATAATTTTACAAGCAGAATGTTGGTGTTTCAAAAACAGGGCGTTTTCGCACTCTTTATTCCTAGAGTATCGTGTCTGGATGAGAAACATTCACAAAAGGATGACAACTTTGTATAAATCACCATTAATTTTTAATTTTCATAAAATTAAAAAATTTTAATTTATTCTTATTTTGAATGTTAAATTTTTAACTCATTTACCTTCATTACCAAAAATTCTTGTTGATTAATTTAATATTGTGGCAAATTTCAACTGTATAAGTTTAATAACGAGATTTACAATATGTATGTGTGTAAATTTGGTCAGTAGTTGATTTAGGGTATTTTTTTCGTATTTTCAAAACGTTTTATACCCAGGTAAAATGGATTTTTTATCAATGAATTCTATAAAGCAACGCGATCCACGTTAAAACAACCTGTGTTCTTCATCAGAAGTTTGTTGAGTAAAAACCCCTTCTTTGGGTGAGTTATTTATTTATCCAACAATGACAATTTATGAAAGTACCTTATAATGATAGACCTGGATACACATTCCGACGCTGCCGACTGGAATCGATCCTTAAAATTACCTGAGGAAATATACTATGGAGTATGGAATTACTCTCTACCGGTACACGAGAAACCTTTATTATTTTTTCTGACTAAATTCGTGTTAACACGACCTTTGTAATCCTGGACCTTTGCACCTCTTTCTTTACATTTCAGGGTCTAAGATATTTAAAACCCGTTTGTGTAACCCAGAAACTTCACTAATTCAAATCCTAATAATCCAGCTTTCTGTATAGGAACACTATTATCTACCATTAAAAAACTTATACAGAACTCTAATTTAGTTGTTTTAGAAGAGTTTTGAGTAAATATAAATTAAAAGCATAACATAATAATTGTATGTGTCCGTAGCACGACAGCTCGAGTAAAACTACAGGAACAATATAGTTTATTTTGATCAAATTTGGCAGATTTTTTCATTCATAAATTTTAATTAATAACATTTCAATAAAATTATCCACTTTACTACCTTCCCTGAAGCAGTAAACCTAACTACTCATTAGAATTAATGTTATTTAAAAATATAATAAATTTGACAATTTTAAGGGAATATTTTATTGAAAATCAAACCAGAAAAATTGAATTCGCTAGGATGCTGGTTTGCTGCGACGAGTGTTCTAAAATTGGCTAAAAATGTTAATATGGGAATGGAACGTACGTAGAGGTCTATCCATAGACAAACAGTACATACACAACCTCATTACCTTAGTCATACGTTTTCTAGCAGACCTATCACCCCCCTCCACCCTGCTGTCTCAAAGGAGTCGTTGTGATTGGTCGAAGCATGATTCATAAGAGATCGCGCTAAAGGAGACATCTCACGACAAATCTGATGCACTCCGCTGGGAGAGGGAGGAATATACATTACGTAATTGGTGCATTAACTTAGTTCAGACGGTGAGAAGTTATAATTACTAATTACTATTGATTGGTTAACCGTGCTGCAAACCAACAAGATCGTCTTCCTTAAACAAATAATACTGTACAGTAAGAGTTTCGTAATCATGATCTGAAAAATTGTGTTAATTGAGTTCTGTTAAGCCTACGGGAGGATAAGAAAAAATCCTGAATTTTTTGTATTGTCTTATGTTGTTTTAACGTTACGTTCATGTGTTCTCCTTAATTCTCAGACTAAGACTACACTACAGATAGGGAAGCTTATAGTCCCATTTAGGTGTAGTTATTTTTACGATGATGATTCTGTTAGTTTGAAAATAAACGCAAACTAATCTCCGACGGAACTTTTTTATACAACGGATTTTGATCCGAGCCATGGATCGAAAACTGTGTCACAGCTTGTGTTAGATTAATAATATTAATATAGAAATGTAAGGTAGATAATATAATGTTTACACTCAGTAGAAAAATGTAACAGAATAATTCAACTACGCTCTCGAAAGAAATTAAAACTATCTGCAGATGACAATCCAATATTGATATACAATTATTGGTAATTCCAGTTCATACATCGCACTCATGATTTACAATTATGCTAGAACTAATTATGCTAATTATTATTACAATTATGCTCCTAAAACTAATACTGTAGAACCTCGATAACAAGACTCTAATGGGGATTATTAAATTGGACTTGTTATCAAGGTTGAATTCTTATTGAGGTTTGTAATAAAATGTGATTGGGGTAAAATAAATTCAAGGGGGTTTTAAAATTACACTTTTTATCAAGGGTGGCTTGTTATTGAGGGTCTTCTTATCAAGATTCTACTGTACTCGTATTCGTGAGTAATGTTATTCGTAAGTTCAATTGAATTCTTCAAACAACAAACTTAATATGAGAATGACTTAAATACATTTGACATTTAATTACTAAAAGGTACCCAACCATTGAAAATTTAAGGTAGGTATCTTCGAGACTTTGGATCTAATATCAAAAGCTATTTTCTCTTTACAAGCTTACCTAACACACTATACTTTTAAATTGCTATAATTGTGAAATATATTGCAAATCAATGTATCCAAAGGTTTGTTAGGATTTACCCTACTCACCTCGTATATATCATTACCACCCGCATACATGACCTTGGAAGGCAGCCCTCATATCTCTTATCAGTGGTCAAGGTCGACTTCCGTATTGTAACGTACTGTTGGCAGTATAGAGGCTGCGTTTTGTAGTTCCCAAATTAAGTGCCTAAAATTCCATGGCGATTTCACTACATCCACCTGAACTGTGAAGAACTTTCTCTGTCAGGGAAAACTCTGTTAAAGCAATAAATAAATTTGAAACTTATTTATTTGTTGTTTTTCAGGCGAGAAGCCCCACAAGTGCGTTGTATGTGGCAAGGCTTTCAGTCAATCCTCCAACCTCATCACGCATATGCGCAAACACACAGGATACAAGCCCTTCTCCTGTGGCCTATGCGAGAAGGCGTTCCAGAGGAAGGTAACTATCACCATAGAACAAACAGAAACTCGTATAGATTTATCATGGTGTCAGCTGAAGTGCTGACAATTTAAGGTATCTTCCTGATCGGTATATGTTTCAAAGTTCAGTAAGGGTTTGGAATCTTTTTCTTCGGGAGATGGCCGACGGGAGACGGACAGCGTCCCAGAGCTTTGTTTGGGTTAATCCTCTGATTTATGGCCTGAGGGTAGTGGTCACCAGTGAAGGGGTGGGGAATCGAGAATTCTGAATCCCACCGGAGGCGTTAACTTTTTGTCAAAGATTTCGCTTAGAATGCGATTACTTCTTAACTGTGCATCTTTTGTTATAATTTAGAAATTTATGACCAAAACTATTTTTCGATTATTAACCTTCGTTCGATTTTTTAATTATCAGCAAGTTTGGTTGGTTTGGTTAGGTTATGATAGTTTAATTTTATAATTTTAAAAATTATAAAATTAAATATTAGGCATTTGTAATTTTATTTTACGAACAGAACTATTTTTTTATTAGTAAACCTTAATTCGATTTTTCATTATCAGCAAGTTTGGTTAGTTTGGTTAGGTTATGACAGTTAAATTAAATTTAAATTTAACCTACAAACGATACGTTTTGACAGCGACGGTGATAGAGCTAACAATTTGCCGCGAACAGTTCGGCTATGCACGATATGATGCGGAAGCGTTCGACACCAACCTAGAACTGACAGGTCAACCGACCGTGATTAAGAGGATTACAGCCTCGATCATGTGCCTACACCCATGGCCGACTTATTTGGATTAATTGCACTTGGAAATTACTCGGACCTTCTTCTGAATTTCTAGAAAGGACTCTTAAGAAAGATGCACTCAAAAATAGGTGGGTGCCCTTATTGTAGCAATCTGTGAGCCTAAACTGGCTGTTGAACTGCAAACAGTCGTTTAAGATGCTCTTAACATTAATCACCTTTGGGGAAAGCTACAATTTAACAGAATTTAAAAGTTAAATTGTAGCTTCTCCTGAATGCGGATTTTTTCAACGTATCTAATACGAATTTTCACCAGTTTCTGGCCACAATGAATTTTTCTTTAAGCACATTTTACAACTCCTTTCATGACATTTAGGAGAAGGTCCAAATAATCTTAACAAGCATTTCAGCCAATATGTTTTGCACTAAATAGAGCTAGCTAACATTCTGGTTATCCCTAGGTGGACCTTCGCAGACACCGGGAGAGTCAACACCCTGGGTATCCTCCCCAGCAGACCCTAGTCTCCAGCAGCAGTCAGTCACCGGTCCATCAGGAGGTCAAGATAGAACCTGTCAACTTACCTGCCAGAGCACAACAGTACTTCTGCACCTCCTAGTAGAGATTTCACTCTTAAAAGTACCTGTAAGGAACCATTTTCCCTTATTCTGAACCGTCGGAAGATAGGAGATCGGAGGGACTCTGAAAAGTATTTTTCAGAAACTCCTTTCCTGTGTATCGTCATCAATACTTCTGTACCTCCTAAGAGAAGATGGAGGGAAAGTACCTGGGTGGAACTCTTTACCACATTTTGTACGTTCTACTGGAAGATGGAAGTAAAAGATTGCAAGGACTTTGAAAGCATATAGGAACTATTTTCTTTCCTCTGTACCTCAAGTAGAAAATGGAAAAGGAGATTACAACGGCTTTGAAAAGTATTTATAAGGAGCTGTTTTCTTTCTTCTGTATATCCAGTGGAAGATGGAAAAGGAGAGTGCAAAGACTTTGAAAAGTACTTATTAGAGACTACTTTCCTTCTGAATTGTCATCATATCGAAACTAGTTATTTTTGTTCCTTATTTCATAATATCACAACCAATTTGAACTTTTAAAGTTCCATTTGATGTTTCATACGTTGGAAATTGACTTTGACGAGTCATTCAGTGTCTTAAGTGTTTACCAAACCTTTATTGGACGAATTTCAACTCTACGAAAATTAAAGTGTCTTAAAGTACCGCTATACTTGTAATGAACTTAAAAATATAATTTTAATCCAACATCCTGATTACTTAAAATAGTGAAACAAATTTGTTAACAGATTCACTTATAACCTGTACACGTGTATTTGTTACCTGTAAAAAAACAACAGTTATGTAAAAACCGTGAATTTAGTGTGCATTCCATTTTATAGTTAAGAAGTGTAATATCCGTGTAGTTCGTCAGTTACCTTTGAATAGTTGAAGTCTGGATAAGTTGTTAAATTTACTTATTTATATTAAACGTGTATTAAGTCAAATCCTTAAAGGATTCTAAGATTTTGCTTTAAATATGCCATTGTTGACTAACAATACTAGCTTTATTTTTTTTGAGCAGTTACTTGGTAAACGCTTATAAAATATTGATTAAAAGTCCGTCCATGTGTGGCCTATGACCAAAGCTCAATGAGTTTCCTAAAGTCGAACTTGTTTAGATTGTGGCTAATTTTAAGCATTCACTGCCTACAATTTTAAAATAACTCGACTGTAGATAGTTGCCATACTGTTAAGTTAGGTGTATATCAATGTCTAGTCCAAACTATCACAACTAGTTGTAGACTAGTCGGAGAGCTTGGGGTCAGTTTAAATAAATAAAAAAGTTTCGTGATAAATATTACTACTCAAAATAAATGTGCACTAATTGACTTTTGAATTTTTATTTTGTACTTGGGTGAGTTTTCTCTCTTGAAGATTGCTTCATATGTCTTTAAAATATTTCATTTTTCCTAAATTGAGTTTATTACGTTTCAATTTAGTTCTAAATTGAGTTATCTCTCCAAATTGGAAAGTTCTTTTCATAATTTATTTAACGTCCTCTTACCAACATTGTAATTTTAAAATAACGGGTTGAAATTAATTCAATTTTATTTGTATTGACAATGTATCAATTTATTGCAATTTATCTTTTTCAGTGTAATATATGTATGTAATGCTCGGACATGTAAATTTGCACGGTTCCGAGTTTATCTTCACCAAAAAACAGGCCTCAGGCTATAAAGCAGCTACAAACCAAAGAAGTTGTAAACTAAATTGTATATCGTTAAATTTGTATAGTTAAATTCATTATATATGTACAGATAAAGACTGCACGGATAGAAATATTATACAGCTCAAATGCTCTAGTCACTTGTCACTGTTTAATGTTAGACCACTAAAAAAGCTCAAAGATTTCCAAATTTATTTTGATACTTAAGTTAATCTAATGTCACGACGAAAAAAATCTTATTAAATCCATTTCCATAACTTTCAACCGTCAACACTGTCTACAGGTAAAAGGTGGTTGTTGATTAAGTGGCAAAGTAAACTTTGAGATGATTCGTTCCTGGAACTTTTGTAGTTTTACGTTTCATTACATCTAAAATCCTACTATTCAAAGTAACTGTGTTCAGTTTTCGATCCTGCAGTCTTTATTAAATTGGATATATTGTTGAAACAAACCCTTCTAAAAGGTGCTAAATATAGTTTAGATAAAAATGGTAATATTGATTTTGTAGCTTGGAGACCAGTAGAAGCCATGGCTAGTTTGTTCACTTGTTGTATTATACAATGTTTGTACTGAAAGTATTATAGTGTTTTGTATAAAGACAATAAATCGTATAAAGTTTGTTCGTTGTGATTTCTACCCGTAGAGTTGTAGTTTAATTGAGCATACATTTCGACAAAAAAATTGCGTATTTCACAAAAGAAAATAATATGATGAACTGTGTGGAAACAACGTGCAAAACTGTAAAAAAGTATTTTTCAAATTGTTTTGATTTGTATACATCTAAATTTTTTTTCATTGTTTGTAATACATATTTTGAGATTCATATAAAATGTATTACGCTTGAACATATCTGTTACGTTTCTGTAAGTAATTCAATGAGGAGCGGTATAACTGAGGTCCATTTGAAATTAAAACTTGACACAGGTGTTTCCATAGCAAATTATATTTAACAATTTAGTTGTATATCAGCTGACTTCTCTCTGACATTTAGGCAGATACAGAGCTATATATATGTACTATATGTCGAATGCTTTAAGGTAATAGTAAATATTAGCGAAAATATTAATTGGTACATACTAAATTAACAGACATTTAATAACACTCAAAATAATTATACAATTCATGCACTTAAACTACAGTATAGAAGATATTTTTTCCTACAGCTACTTGACAAAGCGGGCTGTCTTGTACTGATGATAGCATGCAAAGTTGCCAATTGTTGCATTTACTTACTTTTGCTGCACTCTTTTTACTTTAGCCGCACCCCAGTATTTCAACCAAACAACAAAAAACAGTGTGATTTTATAAGGCACGCAATACGTGTGAAAATAAGTTGGTAAAACTTAAAGATACTACAACTACGATTAGATGGTGCGGTGTTTTCCATTTCGTTCAACGCTTGGATTTAACCTTACATAAAACGTGTTGTTTAGTGTTTGAAAGACTAATTTTGCTTTATTATAACTGTAGGAAAAATATCATGTGTAACACGGGCGCAAAGTGTCTTTGCACACTAGTTACACAAATAGCTAATTTAATTAACATTTTACTGATGCATGAATGATCGAGTCAAAATCAACGTTCTTTTTATATTAGTTTACAAATAAAATTACCAAAAGTATAAGAAGAAATGTCATTTACATTATGTATTCGAAAAACTATATAAAAAAAATTACATTTGTATTTTGTCAGGTTTAGAAGGCCTAATGAACATACTATCTTAAGGATTTGTATCCTTACGGATCCAGCTGATGACATTTTTCACGTCCGTTGCCTTTGAAGGTGTTTTCTTTTAGGTGTATGGTGCTATTTTAAAAACAACTATCACCATCAATTGAAAACTATCTAATTCGATACTAGGACTGCTATGGTATCGCAGCTAAAGAATAAAACACACACCGTACATTTTACTCAACGGCGAGAGATAAATATCTATAAACCGGTGACCTTCCGGAATGCAATCCTCTGCGAAAGACACCCATTCCCAGTTTTACACGACCAAAAGATCACTGTCTTCTCTCATGATCACTACTAGTCCCAGAACCATCAACAATCTACGGAATTCTAAGGATTGGACCGGAGACCTTTATCCAGAGTATCCTGTACAGTGTTAACAGTCAAGGTATCTCGTGTAACGGTGAAGCTCTGCCAGCTTCTTGTAGCCAGACTGCAGATGCCAGGCAGCAGGCAGGTGGCACGTGCCGCCTCCAAATCTCTTCAACACCTGTTAGTCTACCTGTCTCACCACCCAGACCTACAATCGTCTAATGATAGTGTACTAGGGAGTTACACGGGGGTGGTTCTTTGTGGTGAGGACACGTCGAGGAATTCCTCATCAAGTAGACCACCACACAACGATGTAAGAACTAGTAGAGAACTGAGTTGTCTATCATTGCCACCCAGTGTGTTGGCTATTCGAAGATAAAAATGCTCTTACTTCATCACTAATAAATATTTATTTTGAGGGTGTTTCTTACGTTTTCTCAAAGGAACAACTAATTATAGATAAATCGTTATTTAAAAGCTCAACAACAAATGGACCATGGATTCAGAAATGACCCCAGTAGGGATTGAATCATATACAACTGTATCTTTAAATTAAAATGCGAACCGTACTACTTGGATACTATGCGATGAGGGGAATCTACTAAGGTTTAGTCTAACCTTAAACATGAAAGATGAGCGCGCTATAAGGGCGATGGCCTATGTGGCTTTTTTAATAACTAAGATCGGAAGTTTCTTTAGCCAAGGATGACAGCGGGAATCAGTGTAACAAGAGGAAAAGGCACCCTTTTCTCAGTATAGAACCGACGATAAACACAAAAACACAATAAAATGTATGGCAATATTATGAGAAACAGAAAAATTTAATTTAGACTGTATGGACAATATAATTGCTGGAAAGGTACACCTCAGTCCCTTTATCACAAGTTTTACTAGAATCAAATCAGGACCGGAAACATCAGGTGACTGTATGTGATGCTGAGATGTCCAATGATGTCATCTGAGAGTTATGTCTTTGGACCACCGCAACAGGAACAATGTCAGCTCCAGTTCTGGGTAACAAATCCCCAGAATCGTCTTATCCCATTCGGTTCCTCTGTGATAATCAAACGACTGAATTCCATTGTATTAATTAGGCTATATTAATTATATCAATTATTATTAACACGTTTTTATTAGCTCGCTTTCTTGTCCGGTACAAATTTTGAAATCAATTTTATACTAACTTCCAGATGAGCTAGAGACTTGAAACTTGAAACATAGCTCACAAATGGAAGACAATGCAATATTTTATAATTTAATTTTCATATTTCCCTTTGGCTACGCCCCATGGGCTTATTTTTGTTAACTCGCTTTCTTGCAAATTTTGATACTTCCCGATGAGCTAGAGACTTGAAACTTGAAACATAGCTCAAAAATGGATGACAATGCAATATTATATCATTTAAATTTCATATTTCCCTTGGGCTTCGCCCCGTGGGCTTGTTTTTATTAGCTAGCTTTCCTACAAATTTTGATATCAATTTTAAACGAAGTTCCCGATGAGCTAGAGACTTGAAATTTGAAACATAGCTCACAAATGGATGACAATGAAATGTTATATAATTCAATTTTCATATTTCCCTTGGGCTACGCCCCATGGGATTTTAAATTTCACATGTTTACATTTTGAAAGAATGTAAATACATAAATTAATTTAAGTCAGCTGTAAATACTTAAATTTGACAGTTCGAAGAGCAGAGGTTAAGAGGTACAGGAGAGAGATTCTTTATACAAACACTAGCAGAGTACCCGTCCTTCGTACGGGGTTGGAATATAAGTATAAAATGCTTATTGCAGTTATACTCAAGCTTTGCGTTTGCAATAAAGGAGGACACAGTTTGATAAAATTTGCTTTTTTAAATTTACAGTATTCTATAGTATTCTTCACATATTTATAAATTATTTTCCACTTTTTAGTGCGTTAAAAACCTTTTGTTTTAAAAAAGTTTTTTATTTATAAATTATTTTTTAAATAGGGACGCCACTATAGTGTATTTGAAGGATAACTTGGTACTAATTTGTTAATGGGAAGGTAACTTATATCATTTTATGATTATCTTCGTACAAAAATAGATTTTAATACTAAAACTAGTTAACTCCTCTCAAGTTTTTTTTGTTCAAACTAAAGAATAATGGATT